CTGCTTCCTCGTGATGATGGGATTCCAAGATTCATCAAGCAATTACAGACTTCCGGGGAGGCTAGTCGTAAACTGGGTGAAGCTGGAGGGCTCTCTTCGGGAGCACCACCTTCCGCAGTGCCTGCTTTAAAGGGGGACCCCGGAAGTCTGTAATTCCAGTAAAAAACTTTAAAAAATCATATTTGGTTATAAATTCAGGTCAAAATGTATTCTGCGACATGTCTTTGCTAAAGAAAAATCCCAATACGTGTAAATTGATTTACATGAAAGTTATAGCATCTACAAATGGCGGTATATATACTGGAATTTTTTTTCCTTTTTTAATACTAATAATGATGGTGATCAGCAACTTATAGCGGGACTGCAGCAGACATTCTGAAACTGGGGGGGGGGGGACTGACTTAGGGACACTGACATCCCCAGTGACACCAATACAGTGATCAGTGCAAAAGATAAAAAAGCTCTGACACTGTACTAATGGCACTGGGCAGGAAGGGGTTAACATTAGAAGGCAATCAAAGGGTTAACTGTGTGATGGGAGTGTTTAACTACGGGGTGGGGGGGTGCTTCACTATAAGCACACTGATCCGCCGGAAGGCTGAGCTCATCCATCCAGATCAGTGTGCTCAAACTGACAGAGAGGAGAGCTGCATTGAAAACAATGCAGCCGTCCTTCCTGTCGGTGTTTGCTGGGAATCACTGGCCGGGATCCAGTGATTGACACCTTTGGCGGCGCGGGTAGGGCGGTTGCGCGCCTCCCCTACCTGAAATGGAAAATCACGTGTATATATACACGTGATTTTGGGCAGCAGTGCCACCCTGTCGCAGTATATCTCCTGTGGCTGGTCGGCAAGCGGTTAAGGAGGACCTCATGTCTACAAAAAAAAAAAAAAAATAAGAGGTATAAGGACCACTCACAAAACCCATACAAGACCCTTATCTAGGCAAGCAGCCCTGCAGGCCAGGAAAGGGGTGAGGTACCGAGCATCATGACTGCTCCATCGCTTGGCTCCCTTCAAATGGCAGCACCACTTGCCCCCCCTGCTCCTTATGAAAGAAAGGAGCAAAAACAAACTGGTCAATGATGTCACAAGGGGCAGGGTTACCTCGTGAAGTCAGGGGTGACCCTGCCCCTTTGTTTAGTAGGCAGAGGGGATCAACAGAGTAGTGTTGGCAGGTAGCATTAAATTGTTATCACACTGGACCTATACCACCAGATGAAGCTCCCCACACATTTCCTTCCTGGAATTCTGTGACATGTAGTCACTAAGCCCTGTGAGTAGGTACTGCTGTGCCACACATTTACCATGGGAGATGTAGTAATTAGAAATTGAGAGCAATTAGCAGAAAAGAAGCGATAAAACATAAAGGGAATCCAGGAAGTTGTGAAAAGAGATGGCCAACAGACAGGCACCATGAAAGGAGATTTTTCAGGTAATCTTATACTGACTTGATTATTGCATATAATTATTGTTTGTATTGTTATTACAATGATGGTAGAAGATGAAAGTGTATGATGTGACTATAGATTTCCTTCAACCACCTGCAGACCTTGGGCATATAAGCTATTCCTTTAAAAGCTAGATCTTTGGCATCCTGCACACAGCCTAGATCTTCCTTCCTTGCCATGGCCAATATACCCCACAAAATCACTGAGACTTGTGGCCAGTGTTAACCTGGTACTAGTCTTTTCTGCAGCAAGTGTAGATAGCGGTTCCTGTGTAAATAATGCAGTCCAGGGATGGCTCTGAGCAGGCAGGTAGATATGTTATACTGCATGTCTCTTCTGCAATACAATTCCTGCCTGCTCACAGTCAACTTTAGTTCCGCTTTAGACACTAAGTTGGAAGCCGTATCTGTAGTCCCTAAATAAAAAAAACTGCAAGATGGTAGATTATTTTTTGGCAATAAAGTTGCGTCATCTTTTATTTTGTGTACACTGCCTGTGGAGTTTGCACAGTACAAAGTACGCTTCCAGCAAGAATGAAACTGAGTGTCAGGACAATGCAACAGTTTGTGTGCACAGGAGTTACATCATCAGTAACTGCCCAATGGCATACTTGATGGTAGCCAGCCCTGAAGAACAGGAGATGTCAGTGACCATGGATGGAGCAGTGGTAAATGTCTCCTCCCTGCAGGAAAGCACACTAATGTATAAACTTGCTATAACATTAAAAAAAAAAAAGCATGGAAGCTCTTCCCTTTAATCCAGAGATGAACTGAAGAGGAAATACAAAAGTAACAATATTACTCTGTATCTCTCTCTTCTGTGTTTATAAACACTATGTCAGTAGTTGTGGGTTTTTTACAGCTGGGATTACCAGCAAATGTCGGGGGTGGGGCAGAAGGTGTGCTACACATGCTCTGTGTTTGAATGAAACTTTTCTTTTGCAGCACACCCAATGTCCACAACTGGTTAAACATTATCCTCTTTGTGCATTTAAAGCCTAGCTCCAGTCAAAACATTTCTTCTTTATTAGTACCGAGTAGAGCTGGGAAGAATTAAAGTAGATGTATACCCCAACTGGGCGACATTTAGTTTGCTAAATCAGTGTGAATAAAATCATGTTTTTTTTCCTTTTAGAAAATACTGTGTTCACTTTTTTGCATCTCAGTGCTGCTGATCTCCTCTGGCCTCTTTTAGCCACTTCCTGTCTACATACACTCACTCCAGTGGCAGCTGCAGGTCACTGGATGGGGAGGAGACCCTTACTCAGTTACTACAGTGGAGCATGCCTGCTTAACCCCTTGATGTTGATGTAACACAAATATTTGGCCTCACAGAACTGGGCTTTTTTCTATGAGGCCGCATATCTGCGTACCTGTCTTTGTGCTGGAAACGCGCCGCACAGTGTGCTTCCAACACAAAGACCGCGGTGTCATTGAGACCCCCTGGTCCCGTTCTAACGATCGGGACTCCCAATTCCAGGTCACATGATCACTGCGATAGCCTCTGATTGGCTATCACAGTGATCAGTCACTGTACAGCCCAGCCCCCTTGTGGGTTTTTTTTTCTCTCTATGAATAGAGGAGAGAGAGATACATTGTATCTCTCTAACTCCTGGCATTGAGGGGGAAAAAAAAGAATTAAAAGAAAAAGAAAGAAAAAATACCTATATCAAGGTTTGATCTAGTTCAGTGCCAGGATAAGTGTTTGAGTCAGGGTCGAAGGTCAGGATTTAAAAAAAAATATATAATAATTTGGTGTCAGTGTGTTCTAGGTTAAAAAAAACAAAACAAAATGTGCACTGTTGTTTCTGGGCTGTACTACGGGTACAAACAACATACACATATATGGTATCGCTGCGATCGTCAAGAGCTGGAAAATTTATTTTGGGTTGTTCTTTGGTGGTAGGTTATGGTAGTAACAAGAAACACACAGCTAAATTTAAAAAAAAATTATTTACATCAATATATTAAAGAATCTATAAGGTCTTAGTAACTGGGTTTTCATCTACTTTAAAATATCCATCAGCTTCTTTTTTTTTTTTTCTCTTTGTGAGCCCATTAGGGAGTTTTTTTCCTCACTTTCCATCCAACGCCTGTACAAGAAAGAGGGGTGGTTGTCACTAGGAGAGGAAATTCCATGTTTTTAAGTAACTAGCTTAAGATTTAATTGCTCATCTGTATATTATGGTCTGAATGCATGCTTCCTGCTCTAATGTGGATGAAGGAGAGAACACGGAACCTTCACTGTAATGTTTGCTATGAGAGAAGCTGAGAGTTATGCCGTCTTCCATTCTCACACTGCCATCTACTGGATGGAGATCAGCACAAAAATACAAACTAAAAGCCACTCCTCTCGTGGAAACAAACCACTGCTAGCAAAAATACGCCGTTGTAGTGGATCCACTTTGGCTTTCTATGTGCTACAGCGCGTTTAAGGACAAGAAATATTATGACAAATCTTCTGTAGAATTAAACTGTTGGCAACAACATTTTATATGAGGATGAAGACACAATCAAGGGCGGACTGACAACTCATGGGGCCCCCGGGCAATAGGGGATCATGGGGCCCCTGTGTCCTTGCATAAACTCAAAAAAGCCTATGAAAAAAGGTACCAGGGGCATCTCATGGGGCCCCCTACTGACCCCGGGCCCTCGGGCAGTGCCCGAGTTTCCAAATGGTCAGTCCGCCCCTGGACACAATTAAAAATTGCACTGGGATAGTTACATTAAGGGCCAGGTAACGCCACAAAAACATACTTTGGATGCGTTTTTGCTTACAGGTCACACCACACTCTGTTTCAGTGTGTTTTTGATGTGTCTTGCAGTGTTCCAGTATAGTTTTGTGCAGAAAAAATTCAGCATGTTCTACTTTTTTTTTTTCTGCACCAGACACTGGCTGGAACGGACTGCACTGGTGTAAACTAGGGTCACTGGAATACATGGAAAATACCGTGCATGCATTTTTTATGCAGAAAAACAAAAATGCACTGGACTACATCTGGTGTGAAGCAGCCTTTTAACCGCCTCCCGCCTGCCATATAAGGTAATGACGGGTGCCAGGGGGTTCTCTCGCTCTGGGAGGACGTCATATGACGTCCTCCCACTCTAACTGCACATGCACGCCCCCAGGGGCACCCAGTGTGGCGATCGGTGGTGCACTGCGTCCCTGGGACACAGCAGATCACCAATCAGCGGAAAGAGACTATGAATTTGGCTCTGTCTTGTGATCAGCTGCGTCCAATCACAGCTGATCACATGTAAATAAGGAAATGCCGGTTATCGGCATTTCTCTCCTCACGAGCTGTCACGCTGACAGTTTATGAGGAGAGGAGAGCTGGTAATCGGCATTCCTTCAGAGGGGACATCTACATTGATCATTAGTGCCCTGATGATCAGTGTAGCCCCATCAGTGTCACCTGTCAGTGCACATCAATGCCACATATCAGTGCCTACCAGTTCACATCAATGCCACATATCAGTGCCCATCTGAGCTGCCTTTCAGTGCCGCCTATCAGTGCCATATATGAGTACTGCCTTTCAGTGCCCATCAGTGCTGTCTGTCAATGCCCATCAGTGCCACCTATCAGTGCCCATCACTGCAGCCTCATTAGCGAACATCAGTGAAGGAGAAAAATTACTCATTTACAATATTTCATAATAGAAACAAAGAAAAAATTTTTTTTTTTTTTTTTTTTTTTACTACACAAAATTTTCTGTGTTTTTGGTTTGTTTATCAAAAAATAAGAAACCCAGGGGTGATTAAATACCATCAAAAGAAAGCTCTATATCAAAAAAAAATTATAAAAATATCATATGGGTACAGTGTTCCTCGCAATTGTCATTCAAAGTGTGACAGTGCTGAAAGCTGAAAATTGGCCTGGGCAGGAAGGGGGTGAAAGTGCCCTGTAGGCAAGTGGTCAAAGCGGTTGTAAAGGCTCAACGTTTTTTACCTTCATGCATTCTATACATGAAGGTAAAAAAACCTTCTCTATGCAGCAATGCCCCCCAGCCCCCTTAATACTTACCTGAGTCTCATCGCAATCCAGCAATGTGAATGATAGCCTCGGCTGTCCCGGGTCTCTGCCTCCTCATTGGCTGAGACAGGAAGCAGCAGCCATTGGCTCCCACTGCTGTAAATCACAGCCAGTCAGCCAATGAGGAGAGAGAGGGGTTGGGGCCAAGCCTTGGCTCTGTGTGTGAATGGGCACACGGGGCAATGGGTGCCCCTATAGCAAGCTGCTTGCTGTGGGGGCACCCGACAGAACAGAGGGGCCAGGAGAGCCTGTGTGGACCCAAGAAGGATCCAGGCTCCTCTGTGCACACAGTAGGAAAAAAAAATCTGAACCTTTAGAATCGCTTCAAGCACATACTAAGTAAACCAGCAAAAAAAAAACAAACAGTCATTACTATAAAATATACACTTCTGTAGTGTGAAAATACACTTGTGTGTGTAAAAAAAACAAAACACTCTAACGTGTCAGTGAAGGTTCACATGTACGCAGGTCCTGGTATATATATCTAGCTAGTCACAGTCAACTGCAGTTGTTCAGTAATGTTAAAGAACAAGCAGCACCATGTCTAACTCCTACCTGCCCACCGTGGTGTCCTATTAACCACCTGTCTACCAAGGTACGTTTATGAATGTCATGGCAGATAATCGGTTAAATCAAGCTCACAGCTGCTGCTTCATCTGTGAGTTTGGTACCAGTTTTAAGAGCCCGCAAAAGGATTTCTGATAAAAATGATTGAGTGGCTCCAAAGGAGGGGAGAATGTCTGTCTATCAACCTGTAGAAGGTGCAGGACTGGACATAACATGACCATGTAAGAGACAAGATGACGCCACCAGCTCATTTGGTGAAGAGAGATGTAAAAGGGCTTAGCCTGTAACTCCTCCTAAGCCATACCTGTGCCCATTGGGGTGAAACGCGTCAAAGTTAAACATGTCAGAGGTGTGGTTTAAAAGGAGTTACAGGCTAAGGCCATTTACATCTCTCTCCAGCAAATGAGCTGCTGGCGTTGTCTTGTCTCTTACATGGCATGCGGTGTCTTCGTGTCTTTTTATGCTCCAGTGCTATCTGGATTAGGCACTTGACACCCTGCACCCATCTAATACCTTGAGACACCGAACTTTCATGTTACTAGAACACCTTCAGCGGCACTAAAAAATATTGTGCAATATCATGAGTATAACTGTTTAGGAGTGTATCCTCCTTCACTAGGGTGACAATGCTGAAGGAATGGCATTGCCTAGCTAAGGCAGTACTGTAGTCCAGCAACTGCAATGCAGAGGAAAGAGTGACGCTGTTGGAGATTGAAAAAGCAGCATACAGCATTATCAATCAAACCAGGAAGCAAGGTCCGATCTGGGTAACTGGCAGGATCAACAGGCATGTTTTACAATAAAAAAAGATTGAAAAAAATGAAAGGCGTGTAAATGTTTTCTGCTTCACTTAGTTTTAAATTTTTTGCCTGTATTTACACTTTATTTTAGAAGAGGTTTATCTGTACAAATATATATTTTTTTCACAAATATACACATACAGCAGGTAAAGCAGTTGAACACGTCACCATTTTTCTCAGTAAATATATTTCCTGCCCGGTGATTACTCACCGGTGATTCGAACAGTTCTCTCCCCTGTCAGCTCCAGCCATGCACAGCCAGTGTGCTTACAGTGAAGCACACATACAGCACACTATGTAAAACACTCCCATCACACAGTTAACCGTTTGAGCGCCCCAGGTTAACCCCTTCCTGCCCAGTACCATTAGTACAGTGTCAGTGCTTTTTATTAGCACTGAATTGGTGTCATTGGGGATGTCAGTGACACCAAGTCAGTTCCCCCCAGTGTCAGAATGCCCATCGCAGTCCCACTATAAGTCGCTGATCGCAGCCATTACTAGTAAAAAAACCAAAACATCCCAGTATATATACACCGTCATTTGTAAACGCTATAACTTTCATGTAAACCAATTAATTTGGCAAAGAATGTAGCAGAATACATTTTGGCCTAAATTTATGAGGAAATTACATTTCTTTTTATTTTTTACTGGACATGTTTAATAGCAAAAAGTCAAAAATATGTAATTGAAGACACTTAAATGTTATTCTCAAACACATTTTGTAGGAACATCTGAGATACAAGTACACAAGGTTAGAGCTTTGGTGCTGCAAAAGTGTCCTTACTGCTTGAGATTTGTATAAAGACTTACTGTTCCAGGAACTGCTGCAGTCCTTGTCGTCTTCTTTCAATAAAGTCATCACTGCATCCCATATGAAAAGGATCTTTCCCTGGCAATGCAGGGACAGGCCTACAAAAAAAAGGGGCGTTCAGGATTAGAAAAGCCACAAGTATATGGGTAGTCAAGCAATTTAATAGGATACAGTCCTGATGAGGTGAAATGCAGAGACCACCTTGGGAAGGAAGGTGTAAGTCTGAAGACCCTTTTCCCTCATGTAGGATCAAAACGTGCACAATGAAGCTGCCATTTTAGACTGATTTACCCAAGATGATGGTAACAAGGAAAAATACTGTGTAGCTTATAGCAGAGATAACTAAAGCGTATCTATGGTCAACATTTAAAATCATATATTTACACACTGAATTTCACTTATTTCCAGCCTATTTCATTCTGAATGATCTTGAAATTTGTAAACTTACTTTGTGAAGATCCCACATATTTCCTTCCTTGAATTCTATGATACATATTCATTATGACATGTGAGTAGTCACTTCTGTGTCAAAGAGCCTGCCTTCTGAACTACAGAGGAGCTGAAGAGGAGGAGTTTCAGGAGGTGGAGTCAGTACAGGAATCACTGCTTACAGGCAGCAAGGTACCATGGGATATGTAGTCCTTAGAAATTGTAAGTAAAGAGCAGAAAGGCTGCAAAGCATGGTGGGGATCCAGGAAGGCGTTGATAGAACTAAACTAGAAAGAAAATGAAGAAGGGGGCGAGTGGAGGCAGACGCGGTGGGAAGTGACGTCATACGGAATGAAGCACCAATATCTATGTATTTGAGGCGATTTTAATGTTTTAAGTGTGTAAGTGCAATTCATTTTTAAATAAAACTACTTTTTAACAACATACTACACTCTGAGGCTTTTTTGTATCTTTCCCACCCATGGGTAAAGCAACATGACTGCATGAATGGGCAAGAGCCTTAAAAAGGCACATCACCTTACATATGATTGGAATCAATAGGTAATCCAGGTGAAGAGCCCCTAATGGCATGGAGGCATAGAAAGAATGGGATACTGATGAAAGCCGGATGTATTATGATATATACACTATATCACATCTTCATTAAGGTGAGAGTTCTGTGAGCACAGAGGTGGCACAAATTGTGCCAAGTGGAATCTCAACAGTGGGAATTTATTGTTGGTGGACTGATCACACCTCAGGACTGCAACTTATTAATTCCATAACATTTTGGAGTATATGGACCGAGCACTTTTGGTTATCACTAAAATATATTAGTTGGATTGCTTTCACTATTAATGTATGTATATCCATACATGTTGTGCTCATTGCATACTACATATATTGTACCTACATGGTGTGTATTGTAACGTATGCATATTGAGTATGCTCACACAGGTTGGCGTTTAGTGATATATATTTACTTTTAGCACAATCATTTTCTTATGTTTAGCAGCGCAACATCACATTTTTCAAAAACTGATTTTTGATTTCAGTGTGGAAACACAATTAGAGGTGTTCAACAGCTATACTACATTGTTACGTATTTCACATTCAATCATAGGTAGCGTAGGAGTCACTAATCACATATGTACTTCTGAAAGAACATCCTACACCCTCCACCCTTCCCTGGTTCTTGCTGCACTCTGGGTGATGAGTTGTCACCACCCACACAGCTGATGAAGTGGTCTGGATATCTGAAAGCCAGAACGGATCAGAGTGATTCCAATTGGTCCGAGTGGTCTTGATCCAAGAGACCATACAATGGAAATCTTCCCAGTGCAGGGGACACACTGGAAGATGGGAATGAGGGAGCAGTGTACCAAACTCTTGCAAAGGTCAGTGGACGCCTCGCCTAATGAAAAGTTGGGGTGCACCTTCATGCCAAGAAAAGCATGTAGGTGGATTTGGCAGGCTTAGAATGTCAGGTCTTTTAGGTAGAAGGACAGCCAAGCTTTGGGCAGGGGGGTCACCATGACAGGTAAGGGTATACAGAAGCAAAAAAGGATGCTTCTGAGGGAGAACCTGCAAGTCTGCTCATAAGGTTTCTTCTGCTGGGGAAGGCAGGCACTCTTATGCCTGGTAGCATCCTTCATAACAGCATCCATTGTAGTCTCTGCCAAAGGGAACATAGCCCTAGAAAAAGGTTTCAGGCTGTTATCACTGGGATTCACAAGTTAATGGACATCATTAACTAGAATGGTATGAACTTTGTTAAGGTGAGAGATAGCCAGATCCATAGTCTGAATGGACTACTTAAAAACAAACCCCTCATTAGCCCTTTACTGACGAAGGCAAAACAAACCTTAACATCTAAAATCCAGTGGACAGGTGTCTTTTATACAGGTAATAAATAAGATTAGCATCACTCACTTTAAGAGACTGCTTCTAATCTCAGCTTGTTACCTGTATGAAAGACACCTGGTAGCCAGAAATCCTGCTGAATGATAGGGGATCAAATACTTATTTCCTCATGAACATGCATATCAGTGCATAATTTATTAGACATGCATTTCTTTTGAATTTTCTTGTTGCTATTCTGTCTCTCAGTGTTACAATACACCTACCATTCGATTTTTAGACTGATCATTTCTTTGTGAGTGGGAAAACATTCAAAATCAGCAGAGGATCAAATACTTATTTCCTTCACTGTATAAAGGAGAACTAGCCCAAAATAGTATATCTTCATTTCTAAAAAAAAAGTTGGGACATTGTGTAAAATCTACATAAAAACAGAATGCAATGATATGCAAATCTCATAACCCCATCTTTTTTTTTTTTTTTTTTAAGTATTTATTTGAATCTCTATCACAGTGAAACAATCAGTACAGTAAAAGTGTGGCTTGTGGCTACAAACATACAAGGAAGCCAATGTAATTTCCAGTACTAAATCTAACAAACGAGTAGGTTTACATGTCATAAGTCAAACGGTATACCGCTAACAACAGAGCAGAAATGATGTGAGTGACCTATGCTCTATCTCACATTTTCTGTTAACATAAACTCATATTTTATTCACAAAAAACATTATTGTTATACAGGATTTATATAGCACCAACAGTTTGCTCAGCTCTTCACAATATAAAGGGAGACAATACAACAACGATACAGTTCAATACAAGAGGGTTAGGAGGGCCCTGCTCCTTGGAGCTTACAATCTAAGAGGGAGGGGCTGGTGGTACAAAAGTTAGTAACTGTGGGGGATGGACCGGTAGGAGGAATAGAAAACTCCATTATTAACTGAAGGCGGGATAGGCTTCCCTGAAGAGATAGGTTTTCAGAGATTGCCTAAAAGTGGGCAGAGTAGGCGATAGTCTGTTAAATTGGGGTAGAGAGCTCCAGAGGATGGAGGAAGTACTGCAGATGAGCATGAGAGGAGGAGACAAGGGAGCTAGAGAGCAGGAGGTTGTGGGAGGAGCGGAGAGGAAGGTTTAGGTGATATTTGGAGACAAGTGGTGATGTAATTGGGGGCAGAGTTATAAATGGCTTTATACGTTATTGTTAGTGTTTTGAATTTTATCCGTTGGGCAACAGGAAGCCAGTGGAGGGATTGGCAGAGAGGGGTGGCAGATATAGAACGGTTAGTAAGGTGGATGAGTCTGGCAGCAGCATTCATGATAGACTGAAGAGGGGATAGCCTGCGATTATGTAGACCAATGAGGAGGGAGTTACAATAGTCAAGGCGAGAGATTACAAGGGAGTGAATAAGTTGCTTAGTGGTTTCAGAGGTTAAAAACGGGCGTATCTTGGAGTTGTGGGGGTGAAGTCTACAAAATTTGGACAGCGATTTGGTTTGAAGCTTAAAGGACAGATGGGAGTCCAGATTACACCTAGTACCCTGGCGTGAGGGGAGGGACTGATGGTTGTATTATTAATCTTGATGGAGAAGTCAGGGGAGGGGGCACGGGCTGGAGGGAATAGTATGCGCTCTGTTTTGGAAAGATTTAGTTAGAAGAAGTGGAGCGACATCCATGACGATATGGCACTTAGTAGGTTAGTAATGCGAGAGGAGACTGAAGGGGTGAGGTGAGGAGTAGAAAGATTTGTGTGTCATCAGCATAAAGATGGTACTTAAACCCATGGGAGTTTATCAAGTGACCAAAGGAAGGTGTAGATGGAGAGGAGAAGGGGTCCAAGGACAGAACCTTGAGGGACCCCTACAGAAAGAGGAAGTAAATTTAAAATGGTCTGTTGCAAAGTGGAAAACTGTTCTGTGGTCAGACAAATTGAAATTGGACATTCTTTTTGGCAACCATGGGTGCCGTGCCCTCCAGACTAAAAAGAGGAGAGGGACCTTTCAGCTTGTTATCAGCACTCATTTCAAAAGTCTGCATCTCTGATGGTATGGGGGTGCATTTGTGCATATGGAATGGGCAGCTTGCACATCTTGAAAGGCACCTTCAGTGCTGAAAGTTTTATCTGAGTTTTAGAGCAGCATATGCTTCAATCTAGATGACACCTTTATCAGGTAAGGCCTTGCATATTTCAGTGAGACAATGCTAAACCACATACTGCAGCTATGACAACACAAGTCGTTGTAGTTGAAGAGTCCAGATGATTAACTGGTCTACCTGCAGTCCAGACCTTTCATTAATTGAAACTATTTAGCGCATCTTGAAATGACAAATATGACAAAGGCAACCCAGGACTGTTCAGCAGTTAGAATGCTATATCAGGCAAGAATGGGGACAACATTCCTTTTCCAAAACTCCAGCAACTGGTCTCCTCAGTTCCAAGATGTTTACAGAGTGTTGTTAGAAGAGGGGATGCTACACCATGGT